AGGGAGACACGGGGGCCGGGCGAATGTGGGGGAGAGCCCTTCCCCTGGGGGCAGAGGTGCTTTCTTTTTGTTTGGGAAACGGGGGGGGCCTTTCCAGGGACACGTCCCTTGGGGCGGAGGCAAACGGGGGGGGGGGGGGGGAGTACTCATGTAAACGCAACTCTTGTAAACGCATGTCGTTGTCGGCAAACTATCGGCCTTGCATCCATACAACGCCGGGACGGAGCGATACGCCGGGTTTTCGCCGGCCCAGGCTACGGGGGGGGGAGTGCTTGTGATCGGGCGTGCATGGTCGTACCGACTGAAAGGTCGTTGCCAGGTTTCGTATCCCTACGCACACATATTGTACGACAGGTACTCTTCATCCGTCCTGTAGGCGTCCGCATATCTCTTTCTTAACACTCACCCGCCCAGGGGGCATGGGGCCCCGAATCCCAGACGTGCACCAAGCCATCCTCCGAGCCGCACATCGCGAAGCGTCCGTCCTCGCTCACGGAAGCACGGATCGGCAGCGCGGGGTTAAGGTGGCCCTGGAAAACGCGCGAGCGAGAGGGCCACGTCGAACAAACGAAAGAAAGTGAGACGAGAGAGTCTAAAAGCAACCACAACAACGTCAGCAACCAGCAGCAGCAGCAACAGCATCGACAAGTCAAGCAGCAAACACACAACAGCAACCACAGCAACAGCAACCACAGCAACGACAACAACAATCATGACGATGACGACGATATTTCAAGTCCACAGCAGGCAGACCTACGCAGGCGCACCCTGGCAGCACTGGCATCGGATTGACATCACGGCACCACGCCACCAAAAGCCGGGTTAAAGAGCGCCTTCAGATGAAATCAAGAAGGACCAGCCATCATCCCGCAATGGGCAGTAACAAACACAAAATATATACACATGGAAAATTCCTCGCATAAGAGCGCGCTATTGCTCCAGATCAGCGAGAAGGGGCTGCACCGAGCAAGGAAACGGTTACTTGCTGGGGAGGAGGGGAGTGTAGGCGAACAAAACGCTGACCCTCTCACGCTACCGCTGTAGCCTACACCCCCAAGACGCCGCGACGGTGCTCTGGGCTGGGAAACACGACAGCAAGGCAATAAGCTATACGAGAGACGGATCAAGACAGAGAGAAAACAAATCAGCAGGGGAAATGGTCGCGATCATCATGCTGTCCGCCCCGCAGACAACAGCAACATCAACAGCAGCGATCCCGTAAGACACCGCCTTTAGCTCCGTCAACAAATAACAGGGTAGGTACCGATTCATTTTTCAAGTATGTCTCAAACACGCTACATACCATGTATCAACAGGGTAGAAAATATCCATCCAAGCACGTCTCTAACCACGCTACTTATGTGTCTAAATATTGCCTTCAGCTTGGCTATCCTTGTCACCACCGCCCTGCCTCGGTCCCCGAAGCCATACTTCTTCGCGAGAGCCACGGCCGCAGAGATGGCGGAGGATCCCGCGGCCAACGGTTCTATGCGGTACATCCTGAGACGACCGTTGGCTCCGTTGACCAGCACCTGGCAAAGAGAGAGAGAGAGAGTCAGCCACACGAAATGTTTGCCTTGGTTTGATTAGCGTCGACCGCGCTATGAAACCGGGTGACCAATGAAAAGACGCCAGTCTCAGTGCGGTCGGAAAACAGAAATGCTTCAAAAGGCCATGGTCTGGGATCCCGTGTGTGTGCGTGGATGTGTGTGTCTTTAATATTAGCATCGACCGCGGTAACCGGTTGACCAATGAAAAGACGTCAGCCTTAGTGCGGTTGAAAACACAAAACACTTCTATCTGCCATGAACTGGGACCCCGTGAGGGGGCAGCATGGGGGAGGCTAAACTATCCTTCGGATCAAAGACAGAAACAGCAGCAACAGAAGAAAAGTATGTGTGTGTATGTGTGTGTGCGTTGCTTCGACTAGCACCGACCGGGGGAGCTAACCGGTTGACCAGTGAACAGATGCCGGTTTGTATGGTGAGAAAATAACGCCAACACGCTGTCTTTAGGCCAAAGGGTTAGGGGTTCTACCGACTAGGGGGGACGCAGGAGTTCGACGACGGCAGGAGAATAATCAATACCACCAAGTAGCAGTGCTGCTACATCATCTTCCCCCCCCCCCCCCCCCCCCCCCCCCCTTTTTTACGAATAAAAAAGAGGGCCGGGGTGGGCAGGCCTCAAAATACCCCCCGCACAAAAAAAAAACGCCACCCCCCAACAAAGGCCCTCCCCCCCCCCCCCCCCCCCCCCCCCCCCCCCCCCCCCCC